CTTGATACAGCTGTTTCCGAAGCCATGGGCCGCCTTGCTGAAAAAGAACCCAAGAAGGCTCAATTCTTGCTCAAGCGTAGAAAAGCTTCTGACAGCAATGACTCTGCTATGGAACTCTAATGAGCTCTATAATACATCAGAGTCATATCAACAACAACCCCGTCCACTCCTTTCCTGTCTCTCTTTCCCTTTGGAATGCCAATGGTCTCCGTCAATCAGTTGTGCACGATGTCCTCTCACATGTATTGGATACGCATGTTCTCGTTGTCACTGAAACTTGGCTTCTATCTGGTTCTTTCCCTTCCGACTGGTCTCAATTCCATCTATATGGCACAAAAGTACCTGGCGCTTTTGGCCGTGGTTCTGGTGGTGTTACAGCCTTTGTCTCTCCTTCCTGTCCTTTCTCTGTCTCTCAACTCCCGTCTTACAATCCTCACACTCTGTCCCTTAAGGTTGGCACCCTTACGGTTCATTGTGTGTATCTGCCTCCACCCTTATCCTCGGATAAGGTGCTCTCGCTCCTTCGCTCGTTACCTATAACTAGTGATACCATCCTTTGTGGTGATTTCAATGCTCGCTTTGGATCTCTACTAGGTGATACTACTGCTAATCCCCGTGGTAACTCTCTACTACCATGGATTGAGGAGGCTTCGTTGTCGATCCTCAATGAGTCTCTAGCTTATGGTACACCCACCTTTACAACATTTCGGCGACAACAAGAGGTACACAGCATCATTGATCTGTTCCTTACCAACATTGGCGAGACGGCTATGTTGAATTCTCAACTGGTGGTTGACTCTGATCTGTCCCTTGGTTCTGATCATCGGCTGATGGTACTTACTTTCGAGTATGTGCCCCCTCCCGATGATACTCTTGGTTCTGGTAACTCTGGTGGTTTGGCCCCTAGACGACAATGGAAGCTCTCGAAATTGAGGAAAAAGCGGCCATTGGGCTTGCTTCGTGAATCCTTTCAATCTTCTGTTGCTCCTTTGGTTGATTCTCTCTCTGGTTTGGTCTCTGCTCCTGATGGAGTTCGTCCTGATATTGATGCACTCAATGATTCTCTGAATTGTTGTTTGTATGAATCTCTTGACGGGTCAATTGGTGTGAAATCTGGTCGCCCTGGTCACTGGAAAAAGTACTGGACACAAGAAATTGAAGATGCAGCTCGTGAAAGAGATGCCTCATATAGTCGATGGCGATGGGCAAGTGGCTTTGCCAAAGTTGAAACATGGGGTATATATCAAACTGCTCTTAGACGTTTTCGCTCTCTGATACAGGCTGCCAAAAGAAAGTCGTGGAACACATTCTGCTCTAATCTGGAAAAGGATTTCTCTAAAGCTACTGCTGCTATCAAACGCATAAAGCGAAACAAAGAATCCTCTGCTACTTATAGCCATCCAGATGGTCCAGCTGCTTCAGTAACAGCAATGGCATCACATCTTGCATCTGTATACAATGGTACACTCCTTAACTCTGCTTCTCGTCCTGTTGCTCCTGAACCGAATGTATCGGATCTACCCTACAATGATCCCTCTGTTACAAATCTGTTTGATGCTGATACTATTGTCTCTCTGATTAAGCGATTGCCAAATGGAAAAGCTCCTGGTCCTGATCATCTGAAAGCTGAAATGCTGAAGGCTCTAGCATCTGACATTGCACCCGTATTGTCTCTGCTATTTACGCTTTGCTCTCAATGGTCGTACACTCCTGTATTGTGGCGTCATGCTCAGGTCTTTCCCATTTACAAGAAAGGTGATGTATCTGATCCTGCAAACTTTCGTCCAATTTCGCTCACTTCGGTGATGCGTAAATTGTTTGAATTTTCATTGATGCCTGCTCTTGATGAACATTCGCCTGCACTTGATGTTGCTCAAGGTGGTTTTCGTCCACAACGTAGTCCTCTGGATCAAGCCCTCTGTTTACATGACTTGATGCACGACTACTTCCTCACTCATCACCACTATCCTGTTGTAGCCTTTCTGGACATCAAATCTGCATACGATACAGTGGATCGCAACGTTATTTGGGATGCTCTTGCTCATTCTTCACTACCTCGTCCAATCCTTAGTTTATTGATCAATATGTTCGATGATGTACTAGTCTCTGTACTGATTGCAAACCACAACTCTGACCCTTTTTCGCCTGCTACTGGTGTACTCCAAGGTTCAGTGCTCAGTCCGCACTTGTACTCTCTGTACATCAACTCTCTGCCTGCTGTTCTTCGTGCTGCTGTCAACCGTGGTACTATGGTATCTCCACCCGGAATGCATCCTGTTCATATCAATAGTTTACTCTTTGCTGATGATGTGGCCATATTTGGCTCTCGTACTGATGTGCAAACCATGTTGGATGTCGCTTCAGATCACTCGTTCTCTCTTGGCTACAGATGGAAACCATCAAAATGTGCTGTACTTTGTGCTCCCACTGCCTCTACTCGTCATCCATTGTCCCTATACGGTGAACCTCTTCCTGTGGTAGAGGAATTCACGTATCTTGGTATGCCGTTTAGATATAAAGGTCTGTATGCCCCTGGGATTCTCAATCTGCGTGCTTCTGGTGCTATCAAGACAATGGCATTGTTGAATTCGGTTGGTGTCAATCGAAATGGTTTTTCTCTGTTGCTTTGTGCTCGTTTGTATAAAAGCTTTATTCGACCCAAGCTGGAATACGGCTTAGCAATATCGCATCTCTCTTTCCGTGACTTCAAGGCTCTTGATGCTCTGCAAAATCGATTGGTTGGTATGTTTGTTGGTAGTACATGGTACAATGTTGCCAAACATTTGACCTGTATTCCCAGCATGAAGCATCGATATAATGTCCTGGCAACACGTTATGCTCTTCGTGCTGATACTCTCCCTGATGATTGCTTGTTGGTTCTGCTTCGTCGTGGATTACTGTACACTCGTCTAGACAGATTTATTTGTCAAAACCCGTTGTATCTGACACTACCTGATCCGCCGCCATTCACCACTGCTGGTCTTACTGAAGTCTTTGATTCGTATTGGCAAGATCAAGTAGATCATCAACTTGCTGCTGCTGCTGTTTCTGGTACCCAGACCCTCCTCCGTGCTTGTCGTCGTTCTGTATCTCGTCCAGATCCCATTTTGTACCTACCAATTGGTCGATCTGCTCGAAGTCGCCTTGTTCGCTGGCGTCTTGGACGTTTCACAAACATGCGTGAAGAGTGTCCGTGCGTGATGGGTGATTTTATATCTCGAAATCACTTTCTGACATGCCGTGCTCTGGATCGAACACTTCTCGATGCTCTGCCTGTGGCTCCTCCTGGTATTCATCGTATAGACTATGCCCTTAATTGCTTACCTGTGAAAGCCTCTGATGGTCCTCCATCTTATTGGTCTGCTTTGCTTGCTCTGCTTCATGCCATTGATTGTTTAGTGCATCCGCTGGCTGTCATCCCTGCTGATCTTGATTCAGGGTTGTTATGGTTCTCTGCTAGATAGTCTCTTCATTGATGAACGTTTGTTGTTTTGTTTTCTCGGTGCGATGCCACGGTGGTAAGTAATTATCAAAGTTCCCATCCGTTGGTCATTCCTCCAGATCAAATCAACAATACCAGTATTCATGCCGCTCCTTTGCCACTACCACACTTTCCTTTTTCCCTTTTTCTTAGTTAGTGTCCCCTTAAGGGTTTTTTGTACCTGCTACTCTTTTGTTTCTAGAATTCTAGGCTAATGCTCCCATCGAGTGCCCATTGAATTCATGTATATAATAAAAATCAACGTTAAACTGAGCTACATCCCCATCTCTTTCCGTTTTTCATCACTTTTTGCCACCTTCCCCCGGTAAAAAGTATTTCCTCACTATAAAAGCGGTTTATCTCGACAACAAACACTCCAACTAGCCTTCAGTTGTACCAGTTTACTTGCATTTAGTCAACGTACATTGTGTTATAACTTCCAGTTTGTTGGACATCTTTTTCATATTTTATTGAATCTCCAAAGTTTGATAGAATATTTTCAGCCATGCTCAACAATAATCAGCAATCTATGGATTTGAATCAGCTCATCCAAACTGTTCAAGAACAACAGCAACAGCTGATCTCTCTTACCGAGCGAGTACAGCAACATGACAATCTCCTTGCCCGCCTGGACCTTTTGGAAAAGGAAAATGGAGAATTGAAAAATCAGTTACAGGCCAAGGACCTTGCAATTGAAAAATTACAGGGCCAACTCTCATCCCGCCGCACCAATCAAGGTGCTCTTTCCAGCTCTCAGGTAACACCACCCCAAGAGCTTGTTACTACTCACCAACCCGATGCTACTCAAGGTAGCTACGCATCTGCTGCCCGTAAAGGTGCCCAACATCGTGACCCTGCCCGTACTACCAAGCGACGTCTTGCTGCAGGTCGTATGTTCCAAACCGCCACCACCAAAGGTCAACAAGGATACCAGTATGTGTATCTAGGCCGCTCTGGTAAAATCCTGCGCTCTGAGGTTCGTTACCAACTTCGCCGAGCTGGTATTGATACTGGCCGTGTGTTAGACATCTGTTTCCCTGCCACTGGCGTCATTGGCATCTTGCTCCACATCCAATATGTTGAGGAATTTCTTGCCTGTATGCGCAAATGTGAAGCTGATCACATTGAAAACTTCCAACCCTTGGATCCCAACAACATTGCTGATCCCAAATATGCTGATCTTGCCATTGAAGAGCGTGAGCAATTGATCTATGAATTCACCAACACCCGTGCTCTGCAAACCCTCTCTTTCCTTCGTCCACTCAACGTTAGTGGCGTTGGCAAATACTTTGTCTCTGCTGGCTGGATCTCTCAAGAAGAGCTAGATATAGCCGTCTCTGAAGCTATCGGTCGTCTTGCCGAGAAGGAGCCCAAAAAGGCTAAATTCTTATTCAAGCGTCAAAAGGACGATCATGACAGCAATGGCTCTGCTATGGAACTCTAATGAGTAACATAGCTACTAGTCATACTCCCAATAACAACCCAGTCCACTCCTTTCAAGTCTCTCTCTCCCTTTGGAATGCCAATGGTCTACGTCAATCAACGGTACATGATGTTCTCCATCATGTTCAGAACACTCATGTACTGCTTGTCACTGAAACCTGGCTAACCTCTGGTTCTTTCCCTACTAACTGGTCTCAATTCCACCTCTATGGCTCTAAAGTACCTGGTGCATTTAACCGTGGTTCTGGTGGCATTACTGCCTTTGTCTCTCCTTCCTGTCCTTTCTCTGTCTCTCAACTTCCATCTTACAATGCACACACTTTGTCCCTTAAGGTTGGCACCCTTACGGTTCATTGTGTGTATCTGCCTCCACCCTTATCCTCGGATAAGGTGCTCTCGCTTCTTCGCTCGTTACCCGTAACCAGTGATACCATCCTTTGTGGTGATTTCAATGCTCGCTTTGGATCTCTACTGGGTGATACTAATGCTAATCCTCGTGGCACCTCACTACTGCCATGGCTGGAGGAGTCCTCTTTATCCATTCTCAATGAGTCTTTAGCATTCGGTACACCCACATTCACAACCTTTCGACGTCAACAAGAGGTTCATAGCATCATTGATCTGTTTCTCACAAACATTGGCGAGGCTGCTCTGTTACATCCTCAACTGGTGGTTGAATCTGATTTGTCTCTTGGCTCTGATCATCGGCTGATGGTACTTACTTTCGAGTATGTGCCCCCTCCCGATGATACTCTTGGTTCTGGTAACTCTGGTGGTTTGGCCCCTAGACGGCAATGGAAGCTCTCGAAATTGAGGAAAAAGCGGCCTTTGGGCTTGCTTCGTGAATCCTTCCGATCTTCTGTTGCTCCTTTGGTTGGTTCTCTCTCTGGTTTGGTGTCTGCTCCTCCTGGTGTTTGTCCAGATATTGATGCACTCAACGATTCTTTGAATCAATGTTTGTATGAATCTCTGGATAGCTCAATTGGTGTGAAATCTGGTCGTCCTGGCCACTGGAAAAAGTACTGGACACAGGAAATTGAGGATGCTGCTCGTGAAAGAGATACTATGTATAGTAGATGGAGGTGGGCAAGTCGTTTTGCCAAAGTCGAAACATGGAATCTCTATCAAGCTGCTCACAGGCGTTTTCGTTCTCTTGTACAAGCTGCTAAGCGTCGATCGTGGAATCAGTTTTGCTCTGATTTAGAAAAGGACTTTTCGAAAGCCACTGCTGCAATCAAGCGCATTAAAAGAAACAAGGAATGCTCTGCAACGTACAGTCATCCAGACGGTCCAACTGCCTCTGTCAACACAATGGCGTCCCATCTTGCCTCAGTCTATGATGGCTCTTTGTTGAATAATGCGTCTCGCCCTACTGCTCCCCAAGTGAACAACTCTGATTTGCTTACGCTGTGCCTACTGATCTGTCTCTGTTTGATGCTGATATACTTGTCGCTCTCATTAAGCGTTTGCCAAATGGGAAAGCTCCTGGTCCTGATCATCTGAAAGCTGAAATGCTGAAGGCTCTAGCATCTGACATTGCACCCGTATTGTCTCTGCTCTTTACACTCTGCTCTCAGTGGTCGTATACACCAGCTCTATGGCGACATGCTCAAGTCTTTCCCCATTTACAAGAAAGGTGATGTATCTGATCCTGCAAACTTTCGTCCAATTTCGCTTACTTCGGTGATGCGTAAATTGTTCGAATTCTCTCTGATGCCTGCTCTTGATGAACATTCGCCTGCACTTGATGTTGCTCAAGGTGGTTTTCGCCCACAGCGTAGTCCTCTGGATCAAGCCCTCTGTTTACATGACTTGATGCACGACTACTTCCTCACCCACCATCACTATCCTGTGGTTGCTTTCCTGGACATCAAATAGCGTATGATACCGTGGATCGTCGAGTGATTTGGGATGCTCTCTCTCGTTCTTCTCTGCCTCGTTCAGTTCTCAGTTTTGCTCATCCACATGTTCGATGATGTACTCGTGTCTGTGTGATTGCAAATCACACCTCTGTTCCCTTTTCGCCTGCTACTGGCGTATTGCAGGGTTCAGTGCTCAGCCCTCACTTGTACTCTTTGTACATCAACTCTCTGCCTGCTCTTCTTCGTTCTGCTGTCAGTCGCGGTACTATGGTAATCACCACCTGGGATGCCTAGTGTTTGCGTGAATAGCCTGCTCTTTGCTGATGATGTAGCCATATTTTGGCTCTCGTACTGATGTGCAAACCATGTTGGATGTCGCTTCAGATCACTCGTTCTCTCTTGGCTACAGATGGAAACCATCAAAATGTGCTGTACTTTGTGCTCCCACTGCCTCTACTCGTCATCCATTGTCCCTATACGGTGAACCTCTTCCTGTGGTAGAGGAATTCACGTATCTTGGTATCCCGTTATAAAGGTCTGTATGCCCCTGGGATTCTCAATCTGCGTGCTTCTGGTGCTATCAAGACAATGGCATTGTTTGATTCGGTTGGTGTCAATCGAAATGGTTTTTCTCTGTTGCTTTGTGCTCGTTTGTATAAAAGCTTTATTCGACCCAAGCTGGAATACGGCTTAGCAATATCGCATCTCTCTTTCCGTGACTTCAAGGCTCTTGATGCTCTGCAAAATCGATTGGTTGGTATGTTTGTTGGTAGTACATGGTACAATGTTGCCAAACATTTGACCTGTATTCCCAGCATGAAGCATCGATATAACGTTCTGGCCAACACGTTATGCTCTTCGTGCTGATACTCTCCCTGATGATTGCTTGTTGGTTCTGCTTCGTCGTGGTTTACTGTACACTCGTCTAGACAGATTTATTTGTCAAAACCCGTTGTATCTGACACTACCTGATCCGCCGCCATTCACCACTGCTGGTCTTACTGAAGTCTCTTGATTCGTATTGGCAAGATCAAGTAGATCGTCAACTTGCTGCTGCTGCTGTTTCTGGTGCCAGACCCTCCTTCGTGCTTGTCGTCCGTCTGTCTCTCGTCCAGATCCCATTCTGTATCTGCCTATTGGTCGATCTGCTCGTAGTCGTCTTGTGCGGTGGCGTCTTGGACGTTTCACCAATATGCGTGAAGAATGTGTCCGTGCACTACCGGTGAGTTATCTCCGAGATCACTTTCTGACATGTCGTGCTCTGGATCGTACCTTTTTTGATGCTTTGCCACCTGCTCCACCTGGTGTACATCGCATTGACCATGCTCTGAACTGTCTTTCCAGACAAAGCTTCAGCTGGTCCACCGTACTTTTGGTCTGCTTTGCTCCTTTTGTTGCATGCCATTGATTGCCTTGTGCATCCTCTGGCTGTGATCCCACCAGATCCAGATCCTGGATCGCTCTGGTTTTCTGCTCATTGATGAACGTTTGTTGTTTTTGCTTTCTCGGTGCGATGCCACGGTGGTAAGTAATTATCAAAGTTCCCATCCGTTGGTCATTCCTCCAGATCAAATCAACAATACCAGTATTCATGCCGCTCCTTTGCCACTACCACACTTTCCTTTTTCCCTTTTTCTTAGTTAGTGTCCCCATTAAGGGTTTTTTGTACCTGCTACTCTTTTGTTTCTAGAATTCTAGGCTAATGCTCCCATCGAGTGCCCATTGAATTCATGTATATAATAAAAAATCAACGTTAAACTGAGCTACATCCCCACCTTTCTTTCCGCTAACCAATTTTTTTAATACATTGAAGCCCAGTAATATTGAAAAAATTGACCAACTCTACAAATCCATACAATACATAGCAAAACATCATTCCAGACGACACCAAAGTAAACCAGGCATTAAGCTCTGCGTCCTCTCTTTCTCCAGGTCAAAAACGGCCAAGTTCCTCAAGATCTCCACCTTTTTTTCGCTGTAGATTTCACTCAACAGTGAAAACAAAGAAAATGACACTCTCTCAAACCTCTCAGCACCACCATCCACAAACATCAGTTGATATCATCAACATTTCTACTGATTTTGGACCAACAACTCCTCCATCTGCCTCTCCAGCGAGTGAACAGCAACTTTCAACCTTTATGATTGAGGTTCGAAATCGCTTAGCTCGTCTGGAAACCGCCATGTCGAAATTGAGCGGTTAAAAACAGCCCTGGCAGAGTCTGAAGCTGCTCGTCACGCTCTCGAAGCCAAACTTGCAGCTGCTACTGGTACTACAACTAGCCTGGCTCCCAAGCC